CGGGGAGCTGCTTACCTGCATGTAGCCCATCCCGCCCAGGACCTGGAGGCCCTCGTCCGCCACCGCCCAGGCTGCCTCCTGCAGGCACAGAAGCCCCCGCAGCTCGTCAGGCGCCCGGCCTGGCTCCGCACTGGGGGGGAGGGGGGCTGCCAGAACCCCCGGGTGGCAGCGGGGGCCGAGGCAAAGGCCTCCTCGCAGGCAGGGGGACAGCCGGGTGGAGGCTCTTCTGTGGGCACCCCACTCTCCCCCCCCCTGTCGGACCCTCCTCGGGGAGAGCCAGCCACTCACCCGCCCGCGCACTCACTCACCGAGGCGAAGATCTTGCTGATGGCGGCCTCCAGCTTGTAGTCCGGCACACTCGCGTCCATGTTGGCGCTCAGCACGTAGGCCAGGGCCTGCAAAAGGAGCCCTGGGAGTGGTGGGCAGAGAGAGGGGCAGCCCCCCCCAACACTCCAGCGCGCTCCCTCGGGCCCCCAGCGGCCTGCCACGGGGCACTGGTGTCCCCACTGCCAGCGGCCCAGGGTCTCTACCTTCGCAACTAGCCACCCAGGTGGCCAAACTGTGGTCAGACCCGAGGAAGGCCAGTTTGAGAAGGCATAGTGGAGCCAGGGAAGGAGGGGAGGGGGAGGGCAAGCGGGACTGCAGCAGGCCCAAGGGAGACACTGACTGCGAACCGGGGGCGGGGGGGGGCAGCCCTGCCCCACGCCTTCGGAGGCAGTCCTGGGCCCCTGGCTCTCCCTATAGATCAACAGCTGACAGGGGTGGCGAGCATTGTTCCCTCTAAGCTGAGTTAGTGTGAGCTAGCTCACAGTTTTTTAGCCTCTGGCTCAAGCATTTTTGTCTTAGCTCAGGAAGGATGGCTCCAGTGCAAGCTAATTTATGCAGCAGGGAAATTGCTCGCTCACAACTTTAGTGCCAGTAGCTCACAGAGCAGAATTTTTGCTTACAAGATTTCACAGCTTAGAGGGAACATTGGTGGCGAGCAAGGCATTGTCCTTGTCAAGAGGAGCTAGCGGGCCGGTGGCAGCCATTCCCGGGAAAGGGCACCTGGCCTGCCTTGGCCAGCTCTTGGCTAGACTGCTGGAACACACCGTACATGGGGCTGACCTGGGAGACAACCCAGAAGCTTCAACCGGCACACAATGTGTGTGGGGAGGAGGAGGTTTCTCACAATATGCTTCAGGTACAGGAGGACACAGGGGTCACGCTCTCCCACCCCCCCACCCCAAGGATAAAGAGCAGAGGGAGGGAGGTCCGGGGCCTCCTCGCCTTGCTCCACCTTCTCTCCTCCCCCCACCCCACCCGAGGGCCCTGCAGGGCGGCCCCTGCTGCTGCTGCTGGACCCCTGTGACAAGGGGCAGCCGGTGCCCTCACCTCCGTCACGTAGAGCAGCATGGCCATCCGCGCCACTTTCTCCTGAATCGCCCCGTAGCTGCTGATGGCCCTTCCAAACTGCTTCCGGTGGGCAGCGTGGTCCACCTAGGGCCCAGGCAGAGGAGGAGACGGGTGCACTCGTAGCAGCACAGGGGGCCGGCTGGGGGGAGAGCACGCCACCTCCCC